TGACTTCAAGAGAGCTTTCGATTCTATAAACCACAGTTTACTCTGGATAAAACTATTCAATTTAGGATTATCATCAAATATCATTCGTTTATTGAAGAACTTATATTCACAGGCAACTGTTCAGATTAGAGGCTCTAACGGATACACGAAACAATATGAAGTTACAACAGGTGTGTTACAAGGTGAACCATTAAGTCCCCTGTTATTCGCACTTTTTATAGCGGATATTGAAACCTTTTTTTATGAAAATGGAGCGCAAGGTGTCAACATAGATGATAAGAATGACGTTTTAACATTGATGTATGCTGATGATCTCGTTATCTTGGCTCATTCTGAAATCGATGTTGTTAGGAAACTCAAAATTCTGGAAAAATACACTACAGAAAACGACTTAACTGTCAACCTTAAGAAAACTAAAATAATGCAATTTTCTAAAGGTGGGTTTCAAAAACCAAACTTCAAATTTCACTTTGCCAGCCATGTAGTAGAAGTCACCAATAAATATAATTATTTAGGAGTAACTTTCACATCATCTGGTCTCTTTCATGAAATGTCCACTTTGACCAACACCAAAGGCAAGCAAGCTATTGGTTCTATTTTGCCTATTTTGTCTAAGGCTAAAATTGATACCTGGCCACCAAGGTTAAAGTTATTCGAATCATTAACTTTAAGTGTTATGTATAACTGCGTGCCAGTTTGGGGTCTCAGATATCTTGAAGTGCTTGAAAGAGTTCAAATATCCTTTCTTAAAAGAATTCTTTTAGTTTCCACCAATACACCCGATGCCATTGTTCGCTTAGAAACTGGGAGGGTGAAACTTGCTTATAATGTGCTTAAAATATCCGTGAACTGGATTTGCAAAATACTGTCCATGGAAAAACATCGATACCCAAGGCTTTGTTTTGAACAGCAAAGGCGTATTATAAATTACGCGGACCCTAAATATAATTGGCTTTTGCAAATGAAAATTTTTTTTGTTGATTCTGACTCCTTGCTTTTATGGAATGATCTGAATTATAATAATTTACTCAAACATAGAAATACTTTATATGCTAAATATTATACATTCTTACATGACTCAGATCGTTCAATATCTTCCCGTTACCCTTTTTTGTATATTTACAATCTGCTTGGAACTTCCAGGGTACCTAGCACTTACTATTGAAATTACCCATCCAAATCACCCGCACTCTTGCCCAACTACGTATGGCCAATCACTTTAAAATTAAATTCACCCTGAACGGAATTGCCTACTCCATTGACCCTGATCAAATTTGTCCAGTTTGCAACAGGAACGAAAATGAAACTCTCCTCCATATTATTTTTGACTGTCCGATCTACACTGTCATGAAACAAGGAGCTCCATGTCTAAGGAATTTGGAAACATTAATCATTGCCTTACAAAAAATAACAATCAGTGATGCTAGAATAATTTCTGAATATATTTGGAATATCCTTAAGCTAAGATCATTTATTTTGAATGAATAAACTATAATTGTATTATTTTCTTATTCAATAACTATTGATATTTATTTTATACTTGAACTTGGTAGGTTTTAATGTTCAATCGTTTTTTTTTTTTTTATTCATTTCCAGAGTACAAACATACATATATTATCCATTTTTTTTTTCTGTCATACACTCGTTGCTGTAAACTTGTTTAAGAAGCAATAAACTATTATTATTATTATTATTATTATTATTATTTTGGAAATGTAACTGCACCACTGGATTCTACGTTAAAAACTGTATAAGTGGCGGTTCTTATTTTTCCTATAAGTTGAAAGATACCTGAGATACAGGGGTGGTCCCAAAATGCAATATTTTCAATTTCACCCTGTATCTCAAAAAAGAAGCTAGCTATGAAAATGTCATTTGCGGTATCGTGGGTTTCACAAAAAACTAGCCAACATTCGCGAAATCAGCAAATCTCTATCTTCAGAAATAAGGGAGATATGCCGCAAGGACATCGAAAATAGCAAAAAAGGCACCTCATTATAAATCCAAACGCGTACTATTAGATATCACATGAATTGATTTAACGAGTACCAAAAATATTTTTGAAAGACTAATTTTGGCCAATCTTAACACACCTAGTGGATCAAACTTGAATTACCAAAACCGCAATGAAAAAATGATTATATCGTCTTCACTTCTTCTTTGATTTCGAATGATATCAATGATATACATTCAGTATGACAGTGTCATTCCGACATTGATTATCCTCATTTATTGTTATTGAGGTCATATTCACAATATTTGATCAATAATCTATACATAACAAGTCTATACCTATACATTTACCATTTAGCTATACTATTTTCCTCAGAGTACGTATTATTTTATATCAGGAGGACATATTCCAGATGCCTCGTATATGTCATTTTTATATTTCTCTAGCTATTATTATCATTACTATACTCTTTATATTCGTTACAGACCAGAAATGATGCTCAATATAGTTTGAAGTTCCGTATTCATAACATATAATCAGTAATCACAGATTTTTTTTCAGAAAACTCTTTTTTTTTTTTTCGCTGGTGTCAAATGTTGTGATGTGTCTAAATATGGTTGTGATATTAAGAATATGTATAAACAAGGATGTGAATTGTTGAATGTTAGATATTATACTGAACTAGCTGTAGACAAACCATGTATCTCTGTGATTTTTATTGAAGTAAACACATTTCTCAATTTTTCTTGTTTTATTTTACAATTTTTATATAACTATATTATATTACAAACTCTCGAACAACAATTCAATAATATATAGGCTCTAATCAAAATATTTCAACAAGGAAGGCATTCATTGAAAATTTTGATATCACAATAAATTTTTATTATAAACCTAAAATTTCTAAAAATGTATGGAACAAATGTTATTCTCAATAAAGACTATTGATCTACATTAGTACCACTCAGCTCAAGATACTAATATTTCCTATTACAAAAACTGAATATGTTCATCAATTCTGTTAGAGAATTTTGATTTTATTCACATCAAAGATGGATCCCTAGAAGGAGTATATACCATATTCGAAAATGTTTTTGTCCTAAAATTTCTAGTTAGAACTACAAAGTAAAATTTCCATAGGAAACCTTGAAAAAATCCTTATCTATACTAGTTTTCGTCTGTTAATCTATATATAAACTCATTTTCTACACTTGGTACTATTGTTGTTAAACTACATCACATCAAATTCAGAACATTGCATACTTAATTCAATTTCATATTATTCTCCACACATATCCAGTATTTTAGGGAGTTATATAAAAAAGTACCTATGTACAGTATATTCCAATAAAGTGTACCAAAATCGATTACCATAAATAAAGTGGCTACAGGTAGTCATAGAAATTATCTGCTCTCAAAAATTACAAAATGGTATCAAACAAAGAAATGCTGAAGGCTACAACACTTCTTTTCATTTGACCACTCTGACCAACTACAGAGAGTGTTTGAATTCAATTGCATCCAAACAAGATATATCTCAATACTAATCATTTAATCCTTCAATTTCTGACACAACTCGTATATGGTTTCAGTATTTATACGTACAACCAATGTTTGGCTTTGAATCTACTTGTTAGCTTACTTCTTCTAATTTCTTCATGTTCTTCCAGTGGCGAGATACTCAATGCTAATTTCTATGGAAATAAACAAAGTGGAAAATGTAAACATCGTTTATACAGGGTATCCACGAGAAGAGGGTCAATCCGTCAACCATATATTCCTTGATCAAGAGAAATACGACCGTTTGCCATATTCCATTTTGGGTTCTCATGTTAGAACTGCAGTGCTTCCAGGTTTGAAATTTGAAACGTTTTTCTTTATCTCTTTTTCAAGTTCTGGTTCCCACGAGAAGGGATATCCTGTAATGTTCAGAGAACCAAGAGAAATAAGGTGGGAATTGGTGTTCTTCTTGAATTTCTGCAGGTTATAAACCTTGGGGAACACCTCAGTTGGCAATGTGTTCCAGAGCCTCGCTGTTCGTTGGATGAACGAGTCTTTGGAAAGAGATATTCTGCAGGTCTCCAAAGTGACCACGAAGGGGTGCGAAACCACAACTCGACGAGTTAATCTCGCGGGGACTGCCAAGGAAGGAACAATTGTTGATATTTCAGAAGAGCATCGCCAATGAAAATATCTATGAAATAGAGCCAGATCGCCAAACACGCACCGTAGTTCCTGAGAAGTGAGTGAGTTTGTGAGAGAGGCACGAGAAGAATTGCCCTTTTTTGGACAGAATACAATAGTTTCAGGGTATGTTTGGGTGCTGCACTCCAAATATAGAAACAGTACTCCAGGACAGGTCCGATCTGTGCCTTATAGATCATAAGCAGCTGACTGGAAGTGAAATAATAGCTTCTGGCCCGAAACAAAAAACAAAGTTTTTAGGATGCACTTTTAGCAATTAATCTCACGTGATTTTCCCAAGAAAGGTTATTGCTGATAGTAATACCAAGCATCGAAATGGATGTCATAGGTATGGTTGCTCCTGACAAGCTTATGTTGAGCACAGTGAGATCGGCTTTTCTAGAGAAAAGGCATGCTTGTGTTATGTTTGCATTGAAATCTACCAAGTTATTGGATCTTCATTCGAGAATTGTTACTAAGTCCATATTCATGTTGTCAACATTCCTTCCTCGTTCGTTTCTGATTTGCCTGGCTGGTATTGGAGCCCTGGAAGAGAAGGCGGTATGGAGGGTACTATCATAGCGAAGCTGTGTACTGGACATGAAGTTGCTTCCAAAAAATCGTTGATATATGGAGTAGAAATATTGTTGGTGCTAGAAATTATCCTTGCGGAACACCAGCATTCATGCAGACGGAAGGTAATCCCTATATTATATTGAAAGAACAGACACGATAGGAAGAGAAGGAAAGTATCGGATTATTTTCAACTTTCGAAAGGTTCTTGAGCATATTTTCTTCAACAAAGAATACCAATGCAAATGTCTACTCATCGATTTAGTAAGTCGATAAAGTCATTTGGATGTTACGAGGAATGGTTGGTGAACGAATTGACTTCCTTCTCACGTATTTTAATGAAGTCAGTAGGGGTTAGATCTATAAGACTTCTTACCTCCTTGAAAGTACCTTTGGTCTTGATTATTTGTATTATTGCAAACAATGGTATCATGATGATCGACGATAATGTCAGACCCCAACCAACCCACTCAGCCCATGGGGGGTAAAAGTATTCGTTGTATTGGAGTGACTGATGGTGAAATAGTCCAAACATAACCACACACTGAAAAATAAAATGGTTTCAATCAAGTAACAATCGAATTGAGTAATTTCGGCTGAACACCCTGTCTATTGGTTGAGCATTTGTTTCTGTATATCAATGTGTCATAGAATCAAAGGTGGTTCTAAAGGGGGGTTGAAGGGGTAGAGGGGGCGAAGATATCATCAACAAGAAAATCAACAAACATTTTAAATTATACAAGACCCACTATAGTTGAGAATGTTTCATAAATTGCAACAATAAATCGTTGTACATTGCACATTACTACATTAGTGTCATTTTGGACAGTTGTCGCAATATTTTGTTGCATTGCAGGACATATATGAGTCCGCATCTAATTTATTGCGGTAATTCGTATTACTATTCTGCAATTCTAGTGATGAACTATAGTGGGTTTTTGGTATTTCATGCAATATTAATGCATTATTAGATGTAAATTGAATGTTACTGTTTCAATGGTTTCTTTTACCCAACTCATAACTCAATGAGAAGCGGAACACAGATTTTTTGACAAAAAGACATTACAAGCTGAACATTCTGAGTGTAAAATAGCCTGCATATCGATATCGCCAGAAATATAAAAAATAATGAAGATGATAGAAAGCCCTAATTTCGAATGACAACAAAAACAAAAAAAACTCTACCGCCCTGTGTGAGAGTCGAACTCACAACCTCTGGGTTACATGACCAACGCTCTGCCAATTGAGCTAACGGAACATACGTCGTACAATCGGCAGGGAAGTCGATAACTATATGAAATATAAATTGGAGCAATCAATTGCATGCAACAACAAATATGGAACTGTGCATGAAGCAGCTCTAAAGCCAGTGAAAATGAAACAAATAGCAAAATAAATATAACATGATCAAGAGGAAAATTTCAAAAATGACTTCGACCTAGAGTGATCAGACGTACCCTTTTCATAGTAGGTACTCACAAGTACTCTTTCTCGAGACTGCTGTCCTAGAAGTCTATATGTTTTCATTTGGGAGGTAAATGTCCTCTTTTTCGAAGTCTCTTTCATACGAGTTATAGTCAAAATTTGATATTAGGAAGATAAGGAATATGAAGAAACTGAAGAAATATCAGGAAAGAAAGAAATTTGTTCCATCACTCGTAAACCGATGTCATCCGTTATTCTCTGCATGGTTCTTTCAATATGGTGAATTCATACATGACTTTACTTAGTCCTAACTCAAGAATTAGAGGAGGCGATTGGTGGATTCAAGAAATGGTATCTGAAATCAACCAATAATCACTCCTCATTCTTGAGTTAAGACTAAGTCATTAAGTTAAGCATGCATTTATTCACCATATCTTATGTATGAAGGTGTACCTGGTCTGTACCTGTTCAGTTACTAAAATCAGTGAATATGTTTATTTAATTTTTTGACTCATGATATTGGTAAAATCATGCAGTAATTTCAAAGGTAGGGGAAAATCCAATTTTTATTTGAAGACATTTTACCTTGAATAATTTTAAAAAATCGTCTGTGGCGCTTTTTTCTCTAGTATTCACTATATTTGATACTAAATGCACTCTTCATTCATTATCAGAATCTGGTCACCCTACAGTATTAGCCCCCTAGAAAGAGACTTCCTTGCATGGAAGAAAAATCACCTCGAATTTTCAGTCTACGGCATATTGTTCAAACTTTAAAATAGTGTGATATGTGGACAAACTACTAATTTCATTTGTCTTCGAAATAAGGATAACTAGCTACTTACGATTATAAAACTTGGACTGATGAATTTCCAACAAATTCTCCAATACAGCCCTGGTTTCGATCCTAGCATAGCTTCCACATCTTGAGAAAACCTGTCCAAACCTATAAATACATATAACCCATCAGATTGGAGAGAGGGTACTGCATGTTTTGAATAGTTTTACCATAGAACCATGAAACAGCAACAGCTTCGAAAATTGCTGAGCAAAGCAAAGATATTCCAGCTGAATAGGTGTCGAACAGGTGAAACATATAGATGCCTCCCTGCAAAGAGTGATATAGTATCTTGAAATATTTGGGGGGAAACTGTGATAATTCCATACAGGTTGGTAATAAAATCACCGGCACATAAAGGTTTTACAAGTTGGTCGACCACACTATGTATAATGGGTAAACGCGATGGATGAATGATTATATTATACAGGGTGCATCTAAAGAACACCGAAAAAATTCAAGGGGTGATTCCAAGTGATATTTTAGGAAATTAAGTTCACATGATTACTCGATTGTCTATTCATCAATTTCGATAAAACGTTGTGGTTCTTCTGGTGCAATTAGATTCGGGTGGGTCAATTTATCAATATGTATGGTGAATGTCATTGTACGAGTTTCATATTTTTATTGGATTGAACTATTGAAATAACAACTTCTTCACCCTCTGTATGATTCAAGTATCAAGCTGAGTTTTTAAAGAAACTATAAAATTCGATTCGACTCCAAATTTTACTGTAGGTGTTTTCAAGACTTCCATTGAGATTACTCAATATCCCCAATCACAATCATTTTGAAATTCCAGGACTTCCTCAGTCTCTAACCATACTGGATTTTGGCACCATGGAAGCTTATACAGGGGGGTTATGAATAAAAACAACAGATACTTCAAACTTCTACATCCTGTATCTCAAAAACGAAGCAAGTTATGACACAGGTTTATGTGAGCTTTATTTGTTGGAATATATCACAAGGAATCACCCCTTGAATTTTTTTTGTGTAATTAAGATACACCCTGAATACTATTTTTTTACAAAATGAACGTTTAGGAAGAGGAGGAGTAGTTGTATACTCGATTATCCATCTTCTTCAGACATTTATATCCCTCCTGGGAACATCAGAATCAGAGCAAAACAATAATGGTTTGTCAGTGAAAAAATACTTATCTTTCAATTCAGATTTACCCACTGAGTATATAATTTGTTTGGTGTTCTACCTATATCGGTTTTGTGTCTATATTTATTTCGATATTGATAATTGATAAACATATTACGAGTCTATCGAATTGGAGGAAAATAGCATGTTGAATGATATTTTATTTCTCGCTACATTGATCAGAAATCAATTACATCTGCGACCGTCTACCCTTGAATTTTATTTCGTTGGTCAATGTACTCCTTCAGAAAGAAATATATACGCTACGCCTGATTGCATCTAGATACCATTCTGCTCTGTGAATCCCAGGCCAAATAGAAACAAAGTTTTGTACTCAATTTCAACCTTATGAATAAAAAATTCCAGGCACACTTTTGAGTGATTGTATACGACACTGGGACTCTAACATGAAAATGTTAGTTTCAAGATCAATTAATGCAAACATCCTGTAACTCATTTGTAGACTAAAATCACTCATTCATATGCCAACATCAGTATGACACTGAAAAGTGTCAAACTATACGCAGCACAACTTTCAAAGAAAAATAATTTGCATTTACATGTTGAGAACGGGAGCAGAATCGGTCCCGAAACGTCCAAAGATAAGTAAAAATTCGATATTTTTTCAATATATCTATATTTCTTTCCTTCAAAAATTTTTTCAAACAAATTGTCACTGACAAACTACTGGATTTTTCTTTTAGACTCCCTGATAGAAAAATTTGTTAAACGCAGTGACATTTTGGGGCAAATCATCTGATTTGTCCCTCTACAAATATATTGAAATAATACGAATACTTTTATTTTATAGAAACGAGGAGAGAAAATCCCAAAGAAGCAAGTAAAATAAATTTATGAATTGTGTTCAAAATTTCAAAAAACATGAATGATGATCATAATCCTTGGGTGATATTGATAAATCTAACCACCATGTTGTATAAATAACTATTTACTACTGATACTCACTGGTGTTACATTGATCAGGGCAACGCTGAATGAACAAATGATAATGCAGAATGTAAATATTTCCCTAGAATATTTCCTATTCCTGAAGAACCCTGAAAACTCGTCCATCAAACCAGTAATCACACATTCCAGTCCACCCATCTGAAAAAAAAAACATGAAACCATGAAAGACAAAAAAATCTTGGTGAAAGAGTGTTCCAAAAGTCAACTCACAGCGGAGTCTACACCTAACATTATCAGCATGAAAAAGAACAATATGGACCATAATTGGGAACCTGGCAACGTAGCAACTGCCTCTGGATACACTTGAAACACCAACCCAGGTCCTGAAAAAAGAATCGATCATGTTATTCACACGTTTTAGGACATAGTTTTGCTCACCTTCAGTTGCAACCGTACTGATGTGAACACCCTGCTTATAAGACATATATCCCAGATAGGTGAATATCACAAACCCAGAGAAGAAGCTTGTGAAACAGTTGATGATGGTGGTTATTATGCAGTCCCTGAAAATTTCAATCAGTAAATTCTGGGTATTTTTGTTATTCATTGAAGTTACCTGTAACAGTTATTGTGGAAAGTATTATAGCTTGCATAAGAAAGGTGAACACCAAAACCAGCTCCAACTGAATAGAAAATTTGTACAGCAGCATCCATCCAAACCTGTTCATTAATATCTGGTCAAGAATTGTACAGGGTGCGCCTATCAAAATGAAATCGCCCCTTAACTCTCTTTTTTTCAGAAATATCAGATATCAGATTTATTAGTTTTTCCGGAAAGGAAATGAACTTTGATTTTTTCAATAAAACACACTATACAGTGCGTTCATAAAGTGTGGAAACGCTCCATTATCTTACGATATAATTATTTTCAGAGGTAAAGCTCGGACAGGTCGATTTTGTATTTCAGTCTTCCATCTTTTTTTACAAAAAAATAATTTTTTTCCCCACCACCTTACAAGATATGACGTCATCGATATTTTTTTTAAATTGAAAGGGTATATTTTTATATCAAAAATTGATAGCCCATATTTTTCTGATTTCAACCATACCACAACCACATACGTCATATCTTACACTTCAAGTTACAGTATACTGAGTATAAAAGAAACCAGTGTTCATATTTCTCAACATTCATTTAATTATTTATTTTGCAATGGAAACCTGAGAATTACTCAGTAGTTAGTACGAGTATATTTGCCATACTTGAGTAGTAAGCTAGTAGTATTTTCACTACTTCTTATGATATTTTCATTGCAAATAAATAATTAAATGAATGTTGAGAAATATGAACACTGGTTTCTTTTATACTCAGTATACTGTAACTTGAAGTGTAAGATATGACGTATGTGGTATGGTTGAACTCAGAAAAATATGGGCTTTCAATTTTTGATATAAAAATATACCCTTTCAATTTAAAAAAAATATCGATGACGTCATGTCTTGTAAGGTGGTGGGGAAAAAAATTATTTTTTTGTAAAAAAAGATGGAAGACTGAAATACAAAATCGACCTGTCCGAGCTTTACCTCTGAAAATAATTATATCGTAAGATAATGGAGCGTTTCCACACTTTATGAACGCACTGTATATTTTCCTACATGTTGATAGAATTTTTTTCCTGATCTCAAAAATATATATGAGTTGCATATTTGGATAAAAAATAGTTGAGTTATTGAAGGTCAAAGTTTTTCAAAATACCGCTTCATGAACCTCCACTTCATATCATCTAAAAATGTGAGTTGAACATAGTGCGTGGGCTCAAAAATGATATTCATATATTGTTTAGGCTCTTTGAAAATGTTATAATATTGTTTATTATGAAATTGAAATCTTTTCGATCTCAATATAAAAAAATATTGATGGAAGATGCGTTATTTTGGTAAACTTTGATCAGCAATAACTGAATTATTTTCTATTCGAATATACAACTCATACATATTTTAGAAATCAGAAAAAAACCTGTATCGACATGTCAGGAAATAAATAGGGTGTTCCATAGAAAAAATCAAAGTCAATGTCCTTTCCGCGAAAAGGAATGACTCTGTATATAAAGTAGATTATAGATTGTAGATTGTAGATGGGTCGTATAGGCTGGGAGACCTCTCGATCACTGCGACCTAGAAGATCTATTGTGATTACCCTTATCTAGTTTTGGTCATCTAACCCTAGACTTCTGATGAAGCCTACAATCTTCCTGACGGTTGAATTTTCCACCTCAGCAGGGGTGAGATAGACCTGTTCTAGGTGGTTCAGCCTTTGGCTCACATGACCAAAGTATGTGTTCCACGGTTTCGGTCGCATTGTTACAAAAGCGGCAAGTGTCAGTCTCCGCCAGGCCCATCTTTTTGAGGTGGTACCTCAGAGGGCCGTGTCCTGTGAGAAAGCCTGTGATTAGCCTTAGCTCTGGTTTGCTGAGGCTGAGTAGCTCTTTGGCTCGGTTCTGCGAATGGTTGATGAACCTTTTCGCTTGTCGTTGACCTGGAGTTGCTCTCCAGTAGGAGGACTTTTCAATTTCTTTCCATTTCCTGAGTTCTTCCTTTAGGTGACATTTGCTGTATATAAAGTAACTTCTTGAAATAAGAGTTTGGGTCGTTTCAAACAACTTTCTCATTTATTATTTTCTCATATCTCTGAAAAACAAAACAGTTGAGGGGGGGTTCCATTTCGAGAGAGGCACCCTGTACATACGCTGCATATAATACGAAATCACTTAGACAGAAAAACATGATTGATGCTCACCTGTGTCTCTTTCAGCTTGGACAATTCAGGTTGGAGATAGTAGGATATCCCAGATATTGCACCAGGCAGCATCAGCCCTCTTATTAATAAAATAGTCAGCACAACGTAAGGCATTGTTGCTGTGACCCAAACAACTTTTCCTGAAAGAAGTGGGCCAAAATGACTTCGCATAGTGCTAAATGGAATCTGGTTAATTTTACCTGAAGATTTGACTCCTTTGAACAGGGAAATGTACAACAAACAGTATATAATCATGAGACACACCACTAGCTGCCATTTTGGATAGCCCATATCGTGTAGACCATCGCTCCACTGCATTTCCAAAACTTTACGACTAAAACCAAAATGATTCAATAATAGTAGGCATACTGAACAATATATTTTAAATTTTCTTGGCCACAGCCAACCTCATGTATTTCAATAAAATGCAATTTACCAGCCAATTTATGAACGAATATCAAATTGTGATACATAGTTGAATAGAGAATTTCAAGGTGAATAAGATAAGCTACAAAAATATACAGGGTGCTATTCGAAAGAAAAAAAAAATGGATCTACTTTCGATCAAATAGGTGGTTGAAGAAAATTGACATTTTTATTTATCAAGCAAAAGCTGATATACAAGTCAAGGTAGTAATATAAAAACAGTCATAAAAAGTTGAGTTCAAGGCAAGCGCCATCATCGATAATATAACCCTTGTGGATTTCAAATTTTCATCTCTTCAAATAAAAAAGCTACAGGATGTTACATGTGTCCGGTATAAAGATAATTTCATATGAATATCTTCTCCGGTTCACCGGTATTGGAATGTCATGCTTCATTCTATGCTTCTTGGTATGATCTCGAAATGGCGCTATAGCTGTATTTTCCTACAGGATCTAGTAAACACCTTCCAAGTTGGGGTAAAAGGTATGTGAAGGACTAGCAGTGTTGTCTTAGGTACTCAAACGATTGGAAATTGTGTCAAGAAGGAAAAGTTCCGAAACTCCAGTCCGAGTGACCCAGAAACAAGCGAATTCGACGTCAAAGAGCTATCCAGAATAAGACTGTTGATGTTGAATTCGGGAAGTTATTAAGGACGGTTAATGCGCCATTGCTGCAGTTCAATTCTAGGAATAGAAATATCAAGCAAACATTTTGCGATGTTCATTTGATTTATCTAAAGTTACCCGAAACAAACCAAACAATGCAGCTGATATACCTACACTATATTTCAACGCTTCATCAACTCTTTTGGTGAGACATTGAGAGAATTTTTCCTTTCAATAAACTACGAAAAAACATCCGTCTTGTAGGTAACGAGGTATAAAAATGATTATATGGATTTATTTGTTCAAAATATGTTCTTTGAGATCTTTTCTTTCTGAATACCATTGAAAGAAATCATTAGATGAAGCAACAGATGTTCAACAGAAATTTCGATGACATTCAAAAAAACAATGTGAATTCCCATAATGTTCAACACCCATATGAACTAACCCTGAATATTTTCTCAATTTCATCCAGATTCATGTAAGAAAACCAATTTAACCTAGAAGGTGTATTGAAGTCACAAAACTTTTCTTTTCTTTAGTTTTATGTGATGATGAAGTTATATGACTGTATATACCTGGACATCTTTTGAGTAGTTACTGTTCATCATAGGTACAGAAAATGAATGAAATATATCCGACAGATCTTGAATTGAATGATCCTTCAATATTTAGTAATATGGTAATACGCTCGAAGTTATATAAAGTCCTAAAGGGTACGGTTTTTTGCATACTGTTTGGAGCTGAGATAAGTAAGCCTTCTCCTGGTGTTTACACATAACTTCTCAGAACTTTGAGGATCAGAATGTATGTACGTTGTTTGGATGATTCTTCATGTACTACATACAGAGTGTTCCAGAGCTTTCAAGTACGACAATCGATAGAAAATTTGAAAATATTACATGAGTGTTTTTTAGTTATGTCGTGAAGATCTGGTTCTAGTCCTCGTTATACGAAGTGTTAAAGTTCACATTTTTGGTGTTGAATGTTTATCTCTGCTGAAACCGTTGGATCCGAAGGCAAAAATGGAGAGACAACTTCAAAAACAATTGAAACTGTTCAACTTTACATCCACTATAATAAATATTATATCATACTATAATGGTGGATGAACACAGAATATTTTCAACACTGCCAAATCATACGCATCTATTCATTTTCATAAAAGGAACGTGGAAAACAATAAACTAGTCGCTTGAAATTTTCCCCTGGACAAAATATTAATAAAAGCCCAATTGAATACACGCTTCAGTCACCTTCAGTATATAGTTTTCCATATAATGACGCAAAAATTAAATGTTCCATGACGATGCCTGCACGTTTAGTATTAAATATTCCTCGGATACTCACTTGAAAAATTCAGAAGCAGGAGTATGTCTGCTATTCCTGCCAGTGTCGTTGATCAACTTGATGATTTTCGTTGCATTGGGATTCATACTGTCCCAACAAATATCGGTGTTCCACGTATTATTACAATGAATCCAAGGCAAATCTGATGTTATACTAGATCCAATGAAATAGAGGGCCCAAGCTGCAATCGATTTGATTCTCACAAGATTAGAAGACCTCTTAATGTATCAATGGTGAATGTAAAAAACTTCATAAACAATAATATTTTTACAAAATTATCAATAATTCAACATGTTTCGCTCATATTCTTCAAGCTACGCAAGCCTAATTTATTGTTCGGGTATTTCACTCGAAAAATTTACTATGTTAGTGAAACATATTGGGTTATCAAGAGCTCTGTGGAAATTAATCTTATCATTTGTGGAGTTTTAAACGTAATAATAATGTTTATAATAATAACAATAATAATAATGTTTATTCAATAATAAATGATTTTACAATATATCCAGAATATACAGAGTGGGCCGTTGAAAACGAAACAGAGGCTCTGAAGGTCGCCAAAACCGGATTATAAAAAAAATCTGAAACACGTCAACTATATTTTCGAGGAGGACATCGTTCTAAAATATTTTCAGCCCTGCGGCGTTGCCGCTTCTAGAGAAAAGAAGCAACAACTTTGTTATTTCAAATGGAACACCATGTATTTTATTGCATTTTTAGATTCTCCCCGAAGAGCTGATTTCATCAATGCATCACACTTGGGGTCTAGCTGTGATGGTTTCAGGGATATAAAGTGTTCAAAATCGAGATTTTTCAACTTTAGCATTTTTTTGTGTCAAAACTATTCATTATTGGTCAAAATGGCTTCCATGTCCCTATCTCAACTTGTGATTCACTATCTACTGACATTTAATTGGAACAGATACAGGGTGATCAGAATTCTGAATCTTGAACCACCCTGTATTTGTTTCAAATAAATGTCAGTAGATAGTAAATCATAAGTTGAGATAGGGACATAAATGCCGTTTCGACCAATAATGAATAGTTTCGACACAAAAAAATGTTAAAGTTGAAAAATCTCGATTTTGAACACTTTATATCCCTGAAACCATTACAGCTAGACCCCAAGTGTGATGCATTGATGAAATCAGCTCTTCGGGAAGAATCTAAAAATGCAATAAAATACATGGTGTTCCATTTGAAATAACAAAGTTGTTGCTTCTTTTCTCTAGAAGCGGCAACGCCGCAGGGTTGAAAATATTTTAGAACGATGTCCCCCTCGAAAATATAGTTGACGTGTTTCAGATTTTTTTTATAATCCGGTTTTGGCGACCTACACAGCCTCTGTTTCGTTTTCAACGGCCCACTCTGTATAAGAACAGGAATAAACAGGGATAATCACTGAAGCTGTTTTACCAGCTTGTGTGTGATAAACAGATTGATTCTACAGCCCTTTATTCGAAATGAAGCTGAAGCACTTGTTTTAAATGAATAATATGCAAGTTGAATACAAGAATGATGATCAGTGATAGAGTTGAATACCTATATTTTTTACTATGTACTCACCAAGGATAACATTGTAGTAGAAAGATACATAAAAGGATACCAGAACAGCACAAAATCCAACTCCTGAAATTAATGAAAATTTAGGTGAAAACGAACATAAACAAATTAATTATGAGTAAAAAATAGCTAAATTTCATAACCATACAGACTTGTGAAAAGCAAAAAACTGACCCACTATTTTCAGATAAGTCTTTCTCCCGAACCCGAATTATCTTCTTATTATAAGTTGATACATCACTTACCAGACTCGAATGAACATTATATGGTTCAATTTCATTTTGGGTATATACATAGTTACCAAAAAACACTTTAGCACTTCTAGTTTCAAAATTTTCGAGGAATAGAATACACTGGAGAATTGATTAATATTTTACCTTTGAATAGAGGACATATCCTCCAAAGACTAATCGGGCCCTGTCTGTAAAATTGTCCTAGTAAAAGTTCCATGTAGAACAATGGTACTGCCCCGAATACCAACATCAACGTGTAAGGAACTAAAAAGGCACCTGAAATCCAAAAAGAACTACTCTAGGTACAACCCAAACAATTTTCTAACAATTAAAATGCGTAATTCAATACCACTGTGTCCCAAATCTAGTTGTGAACTGAATTGAATTGGAATTTTCGAATAAAAAAAATAGTAATTCATTGTAATGAGCTGAAATAAAAATACATACTTAATAATATTATCAAGACTATAAAAGTATAGATTATAACACGAGTCAATAGTGATAGATATTATTCTCGTGGGATATTCACAAATCGAGCCATGTAAGCAGCGGAGGTGCCAAAAATAGCCATCATTGCGAGTTGTATACCTTACTTTATTCACGACAAATCCATTTATTCCAGATTCTGAATACAAAACACACAAACACTACGCGTTTGACCGTTTGTTCATATTGTTTCCATTGTATTATTTTTTACTATTTCACTCATCATGAAGTTTTGTTGTATCGCCAAAGCACTAGTTATGTGTTTCAATTCTGATTGGTCTATCAGCGTTGGTGTTTTCAACGATTAAACCATGGAATATATACGAAGAAAAGTCAGTCAGTTTGACCATTGTTTGACATTGAATGATTATAGCTGGAGGTGTCATTATATGGCTCGTTCATTCATATGTAATGCTTTTTATGTTTCGTGAAATAGTCTAGCAAAATACCACTCACTTCTAGATATCGTCTCCTAATTATGTTTATCACTGAAACCTCAATAACTTTGATGCCGTACAGCATACAGAGCGACACAATTATCTACAATATTCAGAACACTGTAATATTACTGTTGAGAAATCTTGTGATTAGAGTGCAACTGAGAATAAGGACCAACAATTCCGCCGGGATTAATGTATGATGGCAATATATACAGCAAAAACATACATCATGAAATAGATAAAACGCTAGGAAGGTACCCAAATTTTGAACTGGACTGGTACCTACTGTGTGGAGACGTACTTTCCAACCTAAAAATCGTCCCGAAAACATGATTTTTCGATTGGGTGCCTAAATGATAACGTTTTCCTCACTGAAACATGTCCTTATTCTCTGTATCAATGTCATACACTATAAAGAAAACATGAATCGCTCTGTAAATGGCGTTTTTATGAGAATCTCACCTATAAGAAAAAGATTTGTTCCTCCTAACCGATATAATTTTATTTTATGACGCGTCTTCCAAAGACCTCGACTATATTCAATATCTCCGAGGAAGCGACGCATTTTTACCCCGATGAAAGGAAGGGTAGGCAATAAAACTATTAATTACCCTTCCACCACCCTCGTTTCCATTGCGAGAAGATAGAAGAATTGCGGGACAATTGCTAAATCGACCGAAAATATAATAAAAAAATATATATTGAAAAAATGCTCAGACCTAGATGATAATTCATTAGATTTTTGGTATACCTACTTGCTTACTAATCTGAAAGAAACAAGAGGCAATCATTATGATAGGAACATTAGGAAGTTATTGTTCTGGTTCCCACGAAAAGAGAGAAAAAGTAATGTTCAGAGAACATCGTGAGAACCAAGGGAAATAAGGTAGGAATTGGTGTTCTTCTTGAATTTCTGGAGGTTATATGCCTCGGGGAACACCTCCCTTGGCAATATGTTTCAGATCCTCGCTGTTCGTTGGATGAACGAGTCTTTGGTAAGAGATGTTCTGCAGGTCTCCAAAGTGACCACGAAGGGGTGCGAAGCCTCAACTCGACGGGTAATCTCGCGGGGACTGCCAAGGGAGGAACAATTGTTGATATTTCAGAAGAGCATCGTTCATGGAAATATCTATAAAATAGAGCCACATCACCAACTTTTTTTGGGAGTCTGGTTCCAAAATTGAGATGAATTTATATTGGTTCGAAATCATTGAACGGTCACGTCTTTGTTTATCATTATCAAACCATGAAGTTTCGAGTAGTGGTTGAACCTAAACACAGGCGTGACATTGACATCAATGAAGGAAAATATAGATAGCTCATATAAAAAGTGTGAGGAAACCGGCGCAGGAATCATTCACCAATTCGAATATGGATTTGATCATTGAATCATTCACCAATGTGAACAAAACGCCGTAGTTGGGGCTCCCAGCAATATTCGCTTCAGTGTAAGCATCAAGTCATAATTAATTGTTATATGTAGAAAAAAATTGTGTGTTTATATGATTTGTTGAAAATATTTTAGTCTTATTCATCATAATCACTTTCAAAGTCGATTTTCTAATGGATCTAGAACACAACTTAGACAACCCCCGCCTACAAGAGAAATTGCTATATCTACAGAGAACAGCATAATAGGGTACCTATTGCAAAAGAAGGAGACACAATAGATCTTTCAGATAGAACGTCTTATTTCAGAAACTCCCAATATAAACTGTCAATGTTAAAAACTTCACAAACGATAAAATTTCCACAAAATTCTTGACATGAAATGTTTTGCTAACGCAGTTGCTTCTTCAGCTGAAATACTGGTGCAATAAATGAAACTTACATTGGCTTGCCTAACTTTCGCATCCTTCTTTCCCAACCAGAAGGAATATCTACATCAAAAAACGATATCATGGAGAGGGTTGATACCAAATATATATTATCACTTACCAGAAATTATCACTTACTAAAAAAATAAACTCAACAGAGGTGAATTATTGAGGTCTAGTTGATCGTTAAGCAGAATAGCAGCATTTCAGCGTTCGTTTATTTTTGATGATACAAAATGATTGAGATTTATTCCTTCATTTTCTACGTTAAGAATTTCGAAATTATTGTCAGAACTATGGTTCGTTGAATTTGTTATCTTTTTAAAAAAATTGATCTTGCCTGATTAAACATATTACAATCAACAACGGATACAACGTTAATTAATAAACAGTATTATTTCTAAAATACTCCGTAATAAAGCAATAATCTAAGAAGATTATCCTACCATCAAAAACAAGATTCAAAATTATAGAACTTTCAAATATTTCGGATCATCAATGAAAAATTAGCTTCATTCCTACATAAACTGGAATTAAAATTCACCTACAGAACAAATAACACGTTGTGAAAGTTTATCAAAAAAATTAAGACAAAACTTCCTAATTCGATCATGGGTATAAAAACTCAACAGTGGATCTTGTCCTATGGTATATTGGTCAGACAGGTCGAACGTTCAATCAGCATAAGATGCATTCTTTGAAAAAGAAAACAAATTCAACATACGCGAACAATATAGAAGGAAATTATAGTTTTGATGATAGTTTCGAAATTCTACACGTAGAAAAGAAAGGAATAAAACTCAATCATGTTGAATCATTAAAAATCAACGAACGCAAAAATTCTGGCATTTCACCTACGATCAAGTAGATCTCAATAATTGGATTTGTTTTCTTACATCATATTTTAATGTAGATAATGTGCCAATTTTCAGAAAAGTGAAGGTTAATCGAACCTTTCCACATGTAATTCCAATCCTTCAAGTTGGGAAAGTAGGATGTAAAAGTTGGGCAAGCCAACGTAGGTTTTTTTCATTGTATCAGTATTTTCACCTGAAGATGCTACTGTGTTAGCGAAACATGTCGTGTGATCAAACATTTTGTGGAAATCTTATCGTTTATGAAGTTTGTTCTTGATTCATTATTTGTTCTTGATTAATTTTCTCTTTTGTAACAATGCAAACGTATACATTTTTGTTTCTCTACAATATTTGAAGGGACTGAACTAGATCTTTTATGAATTGTTTTCAGCTCCTTTTTTTGCATAAGTTTAAAATTCAAATCATTACATTTTTTTGTTGAAACTTTCATCCAAGCATGTGTGCAAAAATAAACGATATTATTATCATCATTTTTTACTATGGATTTCCATCAAGTAACGGCCGAGTCAATTCAAAAAATGAACTGTTAAATTATTTCGTTCTCGTACCTCCTCCATTCCGGTAGCACAAGTACGGGAACCTCCACACGTTGGCCAGATCGACAGCGAACCCGATGATGGAGAGCAGGAAGTCCGTGTTGGAGCCCCAGGTCTCCCTGTTGTCGTCAGCAGCGGAGGTGTAGAAGTCCTGGTCTCCAGCTTCGCCTGCTTGGCTGGAACTCGTCGACAGGACGAAGGATTCGTGCTCATCCTCTTCTAGCTGCACATGGAGGTCTTCTAAAGGAAGAAAATCAATTTGATCGAAGATACTTCGATGGTTCATTCAGTCACAGCTTCCTTGAACCGCCAAGCCGTGCTCAAGAGATTTGGCAACAATGCGTATATGTCACACGTCAGTCATCATGATTTTTACCCTACCTCGCTAGCTTGTTCCGTTAAAAGGTTGAGGGGGGGGAGGACTTTTCACGTCCTCACTGTTATATGCATACAATACGAATAGCACAAACTGAAGTTTCATTACCAGAGATATTACAAGACAAATATAATATCGAAGTAATCAATAAGATAACGATTGGATTGTTTCATGATTGATGCAATTATGAGATGTATTTTTGATACTTCGGATCGCACGAAAGGAAATCCTCATTATGTTCATGTAAAATTGTGCGTCCTTGAGATTATTATACTGGAATTTTTCCATCTTCTGCATGCTAATATGTATTGGGAATGCTTCTCTAGCCAAAAAATCCCAATGATTTGCCGTCCCCGGACGAATGAGTTTTCTTAGAGAGTTGTTCGACAGATTTCAAGGTTGATGACAAAGTGGTATGCTGACTGTGTTTCTCAAGTTCATCCAACTAGTGAAACTGATGATGGAAAGATAGCTGAAATTTGTCACAAAGACTGTCCTGAAAGTATCTTTAGAAAAGTGAAAGTTTATAACTTGCCTACGACTAGTCGTATATGAGGAATGCAGATGTTTCCTGTTTCAATGACTATCTTATTATTTCAATATTTTCCAGCGAGAGAAGTGACTGTGTGATATCATAAGCTCATATGACATTTTTAATTAAATGGCAGTTACGATGAGAACTTACTTTTCCTTAATGTACAAGTTAGAACCAGGTTAGTCGATGAGTTGGGATGTTTCGTGTGACCTTTTCCTGCAACAAAGAGGAATTTTAAATCAGATTGAAGAGTCTAGTAACTGAATAGGATGATACATCTATGTTATTCAATTATACAAACTTTTACGGAGATAACTTTTTCAATACGAAACAACTTTTCGAGGAAACGCTTCAGCAAGCACGTTTTCACTAGAGGGTTGCCTAGCTTCAAAATCACGTGGCTTCAATTCATGGACAACTATCTTATAAGGGTGCAGAAAAATATGTTCATTGACGATTCGTTGAATAAAACGTCTCGAAATATCAAGAACAGCTGTCTGTTTTTGAATTAAACTCTTTGGAGATTGTTATTGAATGCCGCTCGAACTGTTTCGATGTTTTGTGGGATAGTAACAATATTCTGAGGCCCCTTTTTTATTGTGGACATATTTATTTGGTGTCCTGAAATGCATCAACCTATAGAAGAACACGAACTCGATCGTGAATTCGGCCGTGGTGAGCGCTTTCGAACTATTAACGGAAGGCAAGCTGCGCACGGACGTTCTTGATAGTGACTTCATAGTGACTGAAAACACGCGGAACATGAACGAGTGTAAACTTGATGGAAAAAGGTTTTCCAACTTGTCCAGTTAGAATTATATTGTGGGTATTCGAAAATATAAGGCACTGATTGATACTGAACCACTCGGTAGATAGTATCGACGTAAACATTCGTCTCTCTAACGCAAATCATTTATATGTGTCGCTATAACCACAGTTCTATAACTTGAGTGTTTTGAATTCGAGATAACCATCGACGCCTCACTAACAAGTAATGTCCTGTCAATAATGTTGTGAAGTGAATACTCTTATAACTACTGTTTCCAGGTACGGGCTTTCTTAGGAAAATTGTCAACGTCAACTCGTTCAAAGTGTCATGAGAATACTCTGCTCATTTCGCCATTTTTCAAGATATTTCTTCGGTTGTGATTTGGTAATCTAGTTAGGAGATTTCTTGACTCTCTGGCGCAAACACTGCTGTGAAAGTTGTCAGATTTTGACGATTCCACGAAAAAAGTTATTCTTCATAAAAAGTTATACATGGCCTGAAACCAAAAATGCAAATATTAAATATTTAATTTTTTTTCTGTGACGGAAATTATCTCTGTTGACAGTTTATAAAATGTCACTTTCCATAAATTACTTTTTTCTGTGACGGGAAAAAGTGTGTACTTTTTTCCCGGATATATATCACATAATATATATAGACTGTTGATGGCTTTTGTTGTGCTATAGTTCCGAAAAATGAGTTAATAATACCGTCTCCGAGAAAGAACTGCAAGTCCTTTTATCTTCCATTCGTCTTCACGGTTACGTATATTACTAAACAACCACTGAATTCGCAATTTTTTGAAATCAAATCACAGAATTAGACAGACAGAAGTGACATCAGATATTTGATTACTTCAAACGAATGATAAAGATGCCTACAACGCGGTGTCACTACTGTTAAAAACTTGAAATTTCACGTCGATAATTTTCAGATTTCAAAATGATGTAATATCTTCTCAATATTGATTCGTCCTTCCTTCTGTCACAGAAAAAAGTAGTGTATTATACACGGGAAAAATATTAGATTTTAACCTGGAGCTAAAATCTACTACTTTTTTCCCTTGTATAATAAATAACTATTTTTCCACGGGAAAAAAATTAGTACTTTCTCCCAGATATATATCACATATATTTATACAGTATGATGCAAATGAATGGAATAAATAAATTCATTATATCAGAAATGGGCGACATTTGAAAAAATTCCAAAAACACGTGACTTTTAATTTCTGAAGCCTCATCTCATGATATTCATATGAGAGATGTTACGTCACCGGTGTTGGAGTAAAGACGTAATGGACGATTTTTTAAAATACAAATAGGGGTCATGTGACACCTTGATTGAAAGGTCTACCGATCGTCTATTCAACAGTCAAAATGTTGCATAAGAAGATTGAAATTAAAATGGAGTATCATGTGATTAATTGAATCTTGCAGAGGTCTGCTACTGAGAATTGAACATCGAAGGGTCGACTAGTTAAAAAAATACGTCGAAAAAAAGTTCTAAACTCTAGTTTTTTGTTTTTTTTTCGAAAGTCGGCTTGTTTTGAAATGAATTTATTCCATACATTTGCATCATACTGTATATATATATATATATATATATATATATATATATATATATATATAAAACTAGGGAATATTGGGGACTGCAGCAAAGTCAAAAAGAGTACTCTTTAAAGTTGGTCCAAGCTTTCGAAAATCTTTATTTTCATCATCAGGGAGTCTGTAAAGTGATTATTCATGAGTATCATGTAGTTAAAGTAATGAAATCTTTGTGTACTTACAACTTTGTTGAGGATGGCTGACATGATGTTCATGTATAATTTCTTTATGTGTCTTGGTAACATAACATGAAAAAGCCGAAAAATCATCGATAAAAATACAATTACATTACATTGAATCACACGTTAAAATATTATAAACTAGTTAAAAGTCACATCTTCCACCACATGGTTGGAATTGTTAGCAGATAAGGTTATTGCAAATGGTGCCGGGAAATGAGTTTTTTTGAAAAATGAATATGACTGACATATGACAGTGTGTGTGAAGACAATTGTCATGTCAAACTGCACGAAACAGTGGTACCAACAGACAATGTGTACCAACGTTGAAAACTGAAATTTCAGTTTTCAACGTTGGTACACATTGTCTGTTGGTACCACTGTTTCGTGCAGTTTGACATGACAATTGTCTTCACACACACTGTCATATGTCAGTCATATTCATTTTTCAAAAAAACTCATTTCCCGGCACCATTTGCAATAACCTTATCTGCTAACAATTCCAACCATGTGGTGGAAGATGTGACTTTTAACTAGTTTATAATATTTTAACGTGTGATTCAATGTAATGTAATTGTATTTTTATCGATGATTTTTCGGCTTTTTCATGTTATGTTACCAAGACACATAAAGAAATTATACATGAACATCATGTCAGCCATCCTCAACAAAGTTGTAAGTACACAAAGATTTCATTACTTTAACTACATGATACTCATGAATAATCACTTTACAGACTCCCTGATGATGAAAATAAAGATTTTCGAAAGCTTGGACCAACTTTAAAGAGTACTCTTTTTGACTTTGCTGCAGTCCCCAATATTCCCTAGTTTTATTCCTAACTAGTCAGCAACGACTACCCTTCTATATATATATATATACCCTGCTGATGGCTTTTGTTGTGCTATATTTCGAAAATAAGCCAATAACACCGTCTCCAAGAAAGATAATAATTTTGAGTATAACATCACAAGTAGATGAGGATAAAAGGGTATTTTCCATCAAAAAATTATTTTTGGGAGAATTTGGTACACTATCATAAGGAGAAAGCACTGTTTTTGTTGCGCAGCAGACTTAAAATCGATGTATCTGGAAAATGATGAGTGCTATTGAAAATAAACATGAGTATAATTTTTAAGTAAAAATGATGATACTTTCATAATTTCATGGTTCAAAAGTATTATCAGTTAGTGGGTCAGGGAGCAAGGAGGTTCCTGAGGGAAAGTTAGCTACGCCACTGGGTACTTCGTGGTGTCCACAATGGATTTCGGTTTTAAAAAAAGTGCAAAACACGAGGTCTGTAATCAGAACCCAACTCCTAATCCACCCCTGTTTGATAAAACCGATAGAGATAGAAGAAAGTCCAATTGCCGATTCGCAGCACAGGTATACGGTTATTGAAATACCTGAGGTGGTGACGCGGGATATTCATTTACATGTAATTGGTGCCAGCTCCTGAGCCACCCCCCTCCACCCCCCTTGACGCCACCGTGCCAGCGGCATCGCTTTCTTTCGTCCTTTGTCGTGTGCATCATAATTGGATTTTTTCGGCGATCGGCCGACGGCTATTTTCCACTGGGTCAAAGTCACTAGGAGTGCGATTTTCAATGGTAATTCAGCCGGGTTATTGTTTATGATTCAGGTCGATCTGGTGCTGAGTAACACAGGAAAATCAACCAAAATAGGGGAGACGAGGGGAATAATGGACTTACTCCCTAATAGTGGACAAGGGACTGGCATATCTCGAGAATCATTAGATCAGAAAAAGTAGTATCCCCTATGTTCATTGTAGTTGATGTATGAATTAGAAAACCATGACC